ACTCAAATTTAACGATTCGATGGAATTTCGACATTTGTATAATTACACAAACAATCGCCTAATTTGCATCATAGATTGGAATTAATCTTAAATAATTACAGTTTGAATTTGATGACGATCAGTTTTATTGACGGAAAAAACGTACATGTATCTTTTACAAAGCACCATTACCTCAAATGTTTTATCACGATAAAATTAATATATTTTATCATTTAGATTTGCGGCTTTGTAAGTAATTAAAATTTTTAAACTACTAAAAAGGAAACTTTTCGTCTTGTCAAAAAACGTTTCGCATTTTGAAACAATCCTATCAGGTTTTCCGTTTATCCTATCGTGAAGATCGTTTATCAGGTCTATCGTGTTTTGCGTTTATCGTATTTTGCGTTTATCGTGTTTTGCGTTTATCGTGTTTTGCGTTTATCCTATCGTGCGTGTATACTGTCCTATCGTGCGTGTATCCTATCGTATCGTGCGTTTATCCTATCGTATCGTCCGTGTATCCTATCGTATCGTGTATCCTGTAAAGAATAACGATGCGGGTACTGTATATATATATATATATATATATATATATATATATATATATATATATATATATATATATATATATATATATATATATATATATATATATATATATATATATATATATATATATATTAAATAGAAATATTACGAAATCCCAGCCATAACTCAATTAATAATTTAAAAAAATTATCGTTGATCTTTCGTAACGATGTCTACAAAAATAAAATACTCTTTAAATGAAGTAAAGGAAATTATATTCTAAAAATGAAACAAAGGAAATCATCAGTTTTATAAAAAGGGTTTAACCCATTACATTTTTATCCATGATGAGTACTTCTTGGCTAGTTTGAGCTAAAAATCATGAAAAATCCGAAGTTTTTTGGTAATATTTCTACTTAAGAACACATTCTTAGCAGATTAAACTAGAGATTTTACTTACGACAGACTTCGTCCTAAGCAACGATATCAATATGCTTTATAAAAAGTGGATGAGAATATGAAAATGAAGCGAAGTTTTTAAAACTTGTAAGTGAAACAAACACTATGCACAACAAAAATTGAGTGCAATCGATTGTGAAATCTGACGTCACAAACACAAGTCTGACGTTAAAGTAGGTCATACGAAAATCTGCATGCCATCGTATATATTTTGTAGTATATTTCATTTAATTCTTCGACAATAATTGTGAAAAAATATTAAATGCTATCTCAGGTTGCGAAAATAGTTCAATTAAACGTGTATTTTGGTTTTAAGATTTTAATATTTCTCTTACGTGGGAAATTTTTCGTAAGATTTCTTGTGAAAAGATCTACTGATTGTTCGCACTGTGAAATTAGACGTCAGTCGACATTCAACCTAACGAAAGATTGTATTTGCAAACAAGGTCATTGTATCGATGGACCATAGAATTTGCGAAATGTAGACTTTATACGAGATTGTTGATGTCCTTGTATTATCAACTTATTTGTCAATAGCTTAACTCGTTTTTAAAATTGTTCGTATATTGGACATGCTCTTGTGTGTCGAATCATGCAGGATGATAATGGTTATTGCCACATAAATAAGGGAAGTTGATAATTGAAATGTTGAAGTTATCACGTTTATTATAAAGTTTACTTGTTAGTTTGCCATCAATGTGTTTAAAATAAAGTAAAATATCCAAATACGAAGCAGATATGTCAGACCCTTTGGTGTCTTTTATTTCGAGTTCAGTGTGATATATCGAATCAACGTAGGCATGAAAATGAATATTGTTAATTGACAAAACGTCATCGATATATTTTAATGTCGAATTGAATGCCTCTGCAAGAGACTTTCTCTAATGTAGAAGTTATTGAATAAAATCATCATAAGGATACAAAAACAGGTCTGTTTATACCGGGGCATAATTAGTACAGATGGAAATGCCAACAGATTGTTGGAACATGTAGTCTCCTAAAACTATATAGATATCGTCAATGAGAAATTCAAGCATCTTTTAATATCAGTCTTGGAGTACTTGTGTAGAATCAGAATGTTTTTAACAAAACAAGTTTGCAGATGACCTATGACAAGGTTTTCATTTACATTTTTATTGAAGAAGCAGTTGTCTGTGATGTCTTTATAATTAATTTATCGTGGGGGATGACTGCATAAAGTGTTGAAAAGTTGTACGTTTTGATGCTATTGATTACGGTAACATCTGGTGGTTTCAAATTTTCTAAGTTCCTTGAAGTTTTTAAGTATCTACATTTGATTACACAACCTTTCGAATATGTCGTTGTTCAGTACTGCTAAAGTGTCTCCTGCTGTGAATATTTTTGCAAAGAATAAAGAAGGAGGCTTGGTAAAACACAGGAATGTCAGTGTGGGAATATTTCATAATAATATGTTTGAATATACAATATGTTTTACTGAATTACTCTTTAACAAGTGCTTCGTTGAATTATGCAAGATTTAATGATAAACATTGCATTGCACATATTAAAGTTCGAAATTGAATATCCATATGAATTTCTTTTCTGCAGGAAACAAACGGTCGCAACAATAGCAATGACAATAAGGCCTGCAATCGATGCTCCAGTAAAGACATAAGTATCGAAGCTGTCTTCAGTTACATGGTGTGGGGAAAGGTTTCCTTTAAAAGAGAATTAAAATAAAATTCATCACAGTTTATAATTTTAGTTCTGTTAGATGTTCATTAATTTTTAAGACATATATAAAAGTTCTTTGTGTGACACCAAAAATTTCTCATGGTAAAGGTGAAGAAAACCAACGGTGATTGATCTCAAAAATCTACAAACAATACAAATGGATAAGATTGTCAGTGAAACATCGGGCGTGATTTTGTCAATATATCTTTGAAAAAAAGAGGGGAAAAGAGAGAGGATAACATTATTTCAAAGAATCACACTATTAAATCTAAAGAAACTGGTAAAAAAAAATATATATCTGAAAACAAGTTTCAATATCCATCCATAAATTGATAGATCTGTTCCCTATTTTAATGAGAAACAAATTTTCAAACGATATGAAAACTTCATTAAATTTATTTTGAACAGTTGAAACTATTAGGAATTATAAATGTGCATACGAGTAAATTGTGTACATATGTTGTTTATATCTTTGTTCCAGGATCCAAGTGATGTACATATTAACTGTAGAGAGGTTGCATTAACTTCATTTCGGCAAACAACCTCACATATTTCACCGATATTTCCATTACATTGCGAGGATACATAACCATCTGGTATTTGAAGTGGACACGTTATTCCTGTCAAAAAAATAGATTTGGAAAGTTATGTCTGCAATGAAACTCTTTTATATTTTGAGTACTCATGTTTTGCTTAAGATACATGTAGATTGCATTGAAAATTTGAAAACAAGATGTGTTTGTGAAATAATGATGCCTCCGTATGGCAGCTCATTGCCGTGGTTGAAGTTTTTCAAATGCAAGTCAAATTCCAAGGTCAAGAGATCAAAAATATTTTTACCCCAAAAAGGTCTTGTCACTAGAAATACACCTGTCAAATAAGAAAGCCCTAACACCAACTGTTATGGCCAAAGTTAAAGTTTATCAGAAGTAAGTCAAACTCCAAGGTCAATGTCAAAGGTTAAAAATTGCTTGTACCCAAGGGAAGGTCTTGTCACAATACACATGTTAAATATGAAAGCCATAGCACCAATCGTTCGAATGAATGGCCAAGGTTCAAGTTTTTCAAAAGTATCTCAATCTCCAAGGTCAAAAGATCGAAAATACTTGTACCCAAGGAAATATTTGTTACATGTAAGTATGAAAACCCTAGCAATAACCGTTCAAAATATAAGGACAAGGGTAAAGTTTGGTAAATTTTTGCAAACGTGGGTCAAACTCCAAGGTCAAGAGGTCAAATATGTTAAATCCAGGTTCAATCTAAAGCAGAGTTAGATGTTTTCCCTTTATATGTCACTTCAAGAACATTATCCATACAGTTTGTTTTTGACAGACAGACACTAGATTGAAGTCGAAGGTTACGTACATGTACTAATGTATTAATGTCTTAACAATAAGCTGACGCGCAAGTTAAATGAATTAAATGCTTTAGCAAAAGAGATTGACACATCAATTTTTTTATGATTATGTTGGAAGGGGGTAAATATAAGTTTATGCATACAGTCCCTACTTCTTATTTCAAATAAAAGTAAAATTTTAATTATTTTTTATTCAAAAAAGATTCATGTGAAACATACTGCATCATCTAATTTAAATATCTTAAATTAGCAGCAGAACCCTGGACAAATGTATAGTGCTGATATTTCAGTAACATATGCACATCCGAAAATAGAAATGGATGGGAAAACATTTTTGTTTCTGATTTTTTATTTATTTTTTAATTAATTAATTTTTTTTTTTTTTTTTGGGGGGGGGGTGTTTTGTTTTTGTTTTTTTTCTTGGTTTTGTTTTTCTTGGGGTTCTTTTTTTCAGAGAACAATAGTTTTCCCTGTAAAAACCTTACGTAAGCATAAATTCTTCGTGTCCTGGCTCCAGGTACCGTTGTTTGTACATAGCAAGCTCCCTGAAGTCCTTGAAGTATATCCATTATTGCAAGAGAATGTGCATGATTCATATGCTTTTCGAGTGCATTCCGGTGATAACAAGGCATTCCCGATAACTAATGTGCAGAATATTTCTAAAACAATTGCAATACATGTATTGAAATTTATTATTATTATTATTATTATTATTATTATTTTACTTTATTAATATTATTATTTTTTATTTTTAAATACATTATAAAATCTTTAAACTCGTACGAAAAATGAACAACAATTACAATGTATAAAATCTTAATTACATGTAACTTATGAAAAGAATGATAAGAATATGAAATGAAAACGTTTACGAAAACATTTTCATTTCCTGCTGAATGTCGTCTCTATATTTTCTTCTGATTGTAGAATGATTTTCGTATTCAACAAACTAATTTAAATTCAAACAAATTACCGGTGCACAAAGGATTCGGGGATGGATTCCAATGTCCGGATTGATCACAAGTGACAGATGCTTTGACAACAAGCCTATATCCAGATTTGCACGCAACTTGACAAGTTTGTCCAAGGTATGGAAGACAGTCATGGAAATCTACAATCTGTAGAGAAGTGTCACAGTGAGATACTGTCAATAAAAATGTTAACCAAAAATTAATTAAATCGTCTAAAAAGGCATAATTGTCTTATATCGCAATACATAAAATTTCAATTTTTTTGTTTACAACAATTAATAAAAACTGATAACCTCCTTGACATGTTGTTTGGTCTGCTTGTAAATTAACATTATCCTGACATCCACATGTTCTTCCTGTTGGTGTTAGAAAGCAGAACGTACTGCATCCTCCGTTATTCTTTGAACAAATTCTACTAACTAAAAGGACGTATGACTATCTAATGACTGCCTTAGAAGTTTTTTGACAGATAAATCTTTATTCTTTCATATTTTCAAATCCTAACTTACCATCCACTGAATCACCTGAATAGATATCTAGACTATCAAGTCGACCAAGCTCTGGATGGTTTGTCATAAACGTAACTTTGGAACCCGCTGCTTTATTTATCTTTGTTATACTCCTGTTTTGTAAAGAAAACATTTATCAAGATAATAACTTAACGATACTGAATATAAAGGATATTTGATTCTGAATATAAAGTATATTTCTTAAATTAAAGTACTGAAACTTTTGGTCTGCACATTTTCATCTTCAAATCAAATAATTATGTACAAGTTTTAATGCTAAAACAAATTGCTAAAAATATGAATGTTTTATATCTAAAAATTATTTTACTTGTACAGGAAGAGTAGAATTTTAATTTACTGTCTATTCCACGCAGTGTAATATAAAAATTGTCCACGAATCACAATGCTCATTAGATGTGCGTCATTATCAGTTGTTAAAACCTATCTGTTTCCTCCATTTAAATCTGAGTACTCTATGCGATTTCAAAGACCATCTGTCCAGTATAGTCTGTTGGCTACACAATAAAAAAGCTATATGTTCCCTTTGCAAAGTGTTAGCTTTTGAAGATATGGAGAATGTTACTGACTATATTTGTACTTACATATAAACTCTATAGCGAGACCGTTTGGCCATCCAATTTCTGTTGTTGCTATATACTTTTTTGACGTTCCATCCATATATGATCTACCAATTTCTGTTATATTCCCAAATTCTGTCCAGTACAAAAAGCTAAAAGGTAAGACGAACTAAGTGGGCCAACAAGTAAACGACAGGTCTTTGACAAAAAATTAAACGACACAAAGAAGGACAGACGAACTGAGGACGGACATGTAGTTCACAGACGAAACATAGTCGATCACATAAGCGAAATCGATAAATTAGTAGCAAATGACTCCTCATTTGTAAAATCAATCGTTAGGGATCAGGGTAATTAGGCACCATGCCTCATATTGTACACTGACGAACAGATGGCGGATCTTAAGAACTTGTGTTGTTCAAGCCAGTCAATTTTAGGAATTGATAAAAGCTTCAATCTGTGCGATATGCACGTAACAGCCACATGCTACAAACAAGTTAGCGTAATTTCTGACAATACGGGGGATGTACCAATTTTTCTAGGACCATTATTTATACACGACAACAGTGATTTTGAATCGTATAGTAATTCCTTTAATCATCTCCGAACAAACTAGCAGGGACAAACAAATCAAATCTTGTTTTTGGGTCAGACGAAGAACAAGCCCTTGTTAGTCAGCCCTCGGGCTGACTAGTTACGGTGGGATGAAACTGCAAGTGCGCTTGCGTAATTTGGAATTCTGGGAAAAATATTTACACGACTTTTTTTTTAAAGAAACCCGTACTATCTGGTCCAATCAAAAGGCCTGCTTCTTCACGCACGCTCTCTGAATTAAGACACAACCTAGAGCTATTTATAGACTGCATTGTTCTTCGTTTGTTCTCGAAAAATTAAAGACATGGATTGTCCTAAGTGGGAAATTTGTACTGTTTTATACGATACTTTGAAAATATTTCAGTGGTTCTTATAGAAGAAGTTAAAGTTATATGTAGAGCACATTTAAAACTTGATATATATACCCTCAATCGCCGTCCTCTGGATGCCTGATGCAAGACTCCCTCGATCAATATCTTGCATAAGACATGTAAGGGTCAGAATTCACACAATAATCCAATTGCCACAAAGGTCCCAGAACAGTGAAAAATGAATCTCTTTTCAATTAAATGATGAAAGTTATGAAAACATTAGAAGACCACTGTAAGACAGTAAAATCTTATGATTTACATGATAAGTTGCTGTCCTGTAAAAAAAGACTGCAATACGTGAACCATAAGTCTGTGTTTCTACCAGAAATTTAAAAGAAGTTCTGGGTTAATTAAATACGTTTTACAAAAAAGAAGTCTTACATCTTGAAACATATGTAAATTTTAAAATAATTATGATTTAACTTTATGGCCTTACTACTAAAACTGTAATAACAAAAGATACTGTATGTAGCCTTGACCTTTAAATGGGGACATTCATTTATCACAAATACCCCACATGTAGACTGTTTTGCTCGTGTTCAGATTTTATATAATATTGTCCAATTTCTTTTAGTGTTGTTCTTCTTGAAAGAGACATATCTGTTAAGAGTACATATGACCTGAAGGAATGGGGTATTAATTATTCAATCTAACCTCATTTACGATCTTACCCCTCAAAAACAACGGAAAACATTTTTATGTCAGGTCCTCGACTCCCCCCCCCCCCCCACACACACACTGAAAATGCGTCCTACGAGCACCTGGATGCAGAAAAATGATTCCGATGAAATTTGTCCTTAAATTATATACATGTAATATTTTTGTAGATAAAAACATTTTTCGAGACAAAAAATGAAGATTATCTTAAAAATGTCTGTATATTAAAAGATATGTCGGATGCTATTCTATGACGAAGGAATTATGAATGCTGCTCCGCAGCTGCAACGCTTTCTATATTAAAATTTCGCGCTGGGACAGTAAGTTTTTCAGCGGCCGTCAATGCATCCTTGGACGAGTTCATTGGTTACTCTGAAAGGTGAAACAGGTTAACCCATCGATAACATTTTCTACAATGGTCTGTCTTCTTTGAGTGGTAGTAGTTTAATAGCACAAAATTAATGTTAAATTCTATCCCTGGTAGGTCTATAATTTTTTTTTATTATTAAAAATCGGGCTATTTTCGGTAACCTTTAACTGTTGGGATTTGTTTGATTTGTACGGAAGATTGTATCACACATGCAGCGACATATCGACCCGTAGACACGCGGGAAATTTTCGGACCCCCCCCCCCCTTCCTCTCTACTTTGAAAAACTTTGCTACAAGCCTGGAACACCTGACGCTTGCGCCATGCCTCTGGTACCATAAAACTTAGATGAGCTCACTTTTGATCTCAGTCTCACTTTTATAAAAGGAATGAGATCAAAAGTCATTTTTGTCTCAGTCTCACTTAAATTTATAAAAGGAATGAGATCAAAAGTGAGCTCATCTGCTTTATGGCCCGGGAGCCCGGTTTAATCTCGTTTACATATTTTCTGCGTGGGCCTCAGGGTCCACGCAGTGATAGACGTGCGAGTGCAGCTTGTGCACGTGAACCGCGCCCACAGGTGAGAAACTGACCACAGTGGCACTAAGATAGTTGAGAGTCTACCTTCGTTTTGTGCATCATAATCAATATCATTTATAGAATTTAACAGTAGAATTGAAAATGTATACATTCATCAACGTTAAATGATTGGGATCTAAGTGGCTTTGTTCATTTATTATGTACAGCATTATGTTACAAATAAGAAAACGACTAGACCAACTTTAAAATAATGTTGGTTTGCCCTCTCCATTCTCAGGATGAAAAATTTGGGTCTGGTTAGGTAGGTTGGAAATTTTTTTCCTAGAAAAATTTTAACATCAATGCTGAATTTTCAAAATTTATTTTCTGAAATGCATAAAAAAATTGTTTCCTGGAGGTTAAAGAATGTTTTGAGTCGGGCAATTTTTGGCCAGTTGGTCAGGAGAGGGCAACCAAACACTTTTTTAAAGATGGCATTAGGCGAATTTAAATTAGATTACATTGACTTTTAAGAAACACAACATGACGGATAAAACAAATCATATACCATCACAAAACAAGAAAGAAACCTTCTGTATTCCAGTGGCTGACTCTCAGCTTTTTTTAAAAAGCTAACCTTGTGAACGCAGTTATCTCAGCTTTTCCCGAAGCTACCCATCTCCTCTGCAAACGTCATCTTTATCAAAATACAAAACAGAAGCTGATTGATGACTGCGTTGACAAGGTCGATAGGCAAAAGATTTTAGATATGATTCTTAGAAGGGACGGACTTATCAATGCCGACGGTAGTATCTGCTTCGACGCGAAATCCGATGACATAGAAGACGCATCTAGAGAGTTGTCAGGCGAATTTCTAAGGTACTTTCAAAACAAACTTAAATCAAATTTGAAGGATAAAGTGAACAAACCGTTATGTACTGGGTTAGTAGTAAACGCGTGGACAAATAACAATTCTGAGTCTCTCAATCATATCTTAAAGCAGGCAATAAATTGGAAATCAAAACCCCTTTTAGACCTTGTGAACATCCTGACAACTCTCAAAGAGGCCCAATTTAAAGACATTAGGAAGACAATCGTAGGTACAGGACAGTTCAGGCTTGCAAAGATCTATGAACACTTTGGGGTAACAAGGACTGTTTGGGTCTCTAAAACAACAGAGGAGCGTGACAGACATTACAGACGATTTAGACAATTTATTCCAAAAGACAAAATGACTGTAACCTCTATATATAGCTACCGACGGTACAATGACTGTAGTTCAACCCAGATCACTATATAGGCAAAAAGATCGGCCAGCAAAACCGAAAAATGAACGAGAGGACAAAAACATTAAAAAAAACCCAAAACAAATTAAATTTTCCGAATGATTCAGCTGGTTAATATTTATTTAGTAACAGTGCGTACGCCGTATCTTGTTGTTGAGATGCCCAGAAATGGGTAGGACTCCACTGTTACTACATGTACTAATCTCTTGAAATTCGCATAAAAAAAAGATTTTTTTCCGGTAAATTAAGCAATCACATGTGTAGAATTAGTCTGCATTTTTTATTGCCTGACATCTTGTCATCATGATTTTTTTTTTTTAAATATGCATTATTTATGTTTTTATTATTAATTTTATTGATTTTATGTGATTTAAAATGTAGCTATGCGTCATGTGTTTGAGACGCTCCTTTATAGTTGCTTAATGGATTTATATGCTGTATGAATATTTTTAAATCGATATTTATTCATACATCATTGATATTTTTAGATGTAAATGATGTGATTTTTTGAAATAGTAGCTTCACATATTCTGTGTTTTATTATATATTGCTATCTGCTTTGATGACATGTTATTGACTGTGCACCAGTAATAATAAAGATTATGAACGAATTTCAGCATTCATTTATCAATTTAAGCTCATGAAGTATGAATTATAATCAGTTGTCACCTGATTATTGACGAGAGATTTCATTGGTAATTTTTCCGCAATATCGAAGATTTCATGTAGATGGCTTATCTTCAATACGAGTTATCGTCCTTTGAACACTATACGCATCGAGATGCAAGGCATGAAAATATTTGAAAATATTTGATTTTACAAGCAGTTATGCATTAATGAAAAATATAAGCATTATTTTTTCATGGAAAACATGATGTAAAATCACATGAAGGGGAATTTCGGCGATTTCATTGGGCATTTCGGTGATTTTAAGGGGCATTTCGGTGATTAACGGGCATTCCGGTGATTCGTGTTACCCGATTCCAGTCACTGCCACTGCACTTGCCAAACAGTGTACTTAGAATTAGATGGAGGAGGGTAATGTGAAGTTTGACAAGCGGATATTTGAGGGTCTAACTGCCCTGGGACTAAATAAGCTGCAGTTTGCTATTGTCAAACTAGAATCTTGCAATGGGACGGAAAGTATTTCATTTTCAGAAGTCTCTTGTGGATATAAAGTGTTAAGGGACAAAATAAAACGACGACCATGCTTTTTCCCGTTTACATCAATCTTCAAAGACGGAGTTTCTTTCTTGCAAAATTTGGAAAAAGCAAGCAACGATGACATTAAAAACATGGAAGGTCACATGAAAGATGCTGTTTTACGCCTTAATGCATTTTACAAAGCTAAA